AGCCCCAAAAGCAACAGGGAAGCTGCTCTGGGGGGGGAAAAGGGCCTGACCAGGACCGGGATGGGGACCGGGGCTGGGGTTCACAGGAGGAGGTGGGGACCTGAGCAGCATCTTCCCTTGACCCTTCCCTATTGCTGCTTGGCAAAGGAGCGATGGCTCCATCCACCTCTGCAGCCCCATCAGCACGAGAAAACGAGCGGCGCTAATCACCCGGCGCGTGCACCCTGATCCAAGCTGGTACCCAGCACTCAGCCCACGCGCCCTCGTGTTGGGTGCTGCTGGGTGGGCATCACTGCGGCCCCCAGGGCAGGGGACAGGGCCACCCGCGCCACCCTGGCTGGGGGGGATGCCGGTGGAGGCGTCGCTGTGCCGTGGCTGCGTCCCTGCCCCAGAAGGGTTTATTGCTGGATTTGGGGTTGGGAAGCAGCTGACGCAGCAGGTGCCGGGGAGGGAGCCGGAAGCGCGCCAGCATCTCGGCATCTCGCAATTAGGAGCTGTTCAGTGTCACCGCCCGGTTACGGGGACAGCGGCAGGGACGAGGCTTTGGGCTCAGCCTGAGGACGGGCTGAGCTTGGGGTCTCCCAGCCGGGGAAGGGGACACCTCCCTGCACAGCCCCCAGGGCTGGTTTCCCTTGGGGATACCTTGGGAGAGGGCCACATTCTGCACCACCTGAGGCCGGGCTCCCTCCAAGGGCTGCAGGTTGGGCTTTACCAGTCCCTTTACCAGGTCGGGGAGGCCGGGGGCAGGCAGAGAAGTGCCGGGTGCAGGCAGCTGCCTGCCCCTTCTGCCAGCTCTCCCCTCCCTGCCTTGCTCTCCCCGGCCCAGCAGGTCTTTCCAGTACAGATAGAAAGAGTTTGTGTCATTTTCCAGAAGGTGATGAGACCTCGTCTGGGACAGCCAGCGCCTCCGGAGGCTGGGACCAGCCTGGGCGGGGCCGCACAGCTGCATGGGCAAAGCCACATCTGCATGGGCAAAGACACAGCTGGATCCCCAGGGCCACAGCTGGATCCCCAGGGCCACAGCACCCGCCAGTGGAAGAGGGATGGGTGCACTCGGCAGCGCCGAGGAAGAGCTGCTTAAATGTGCTGGGGACAGGATGGGTGTCAGAGCAAGCAGCCAAGAGCGGGCTCAGCCTGGAGGGAGCCCCAGCACCCCGTGGTGGGGGCTCTGCAGTGGCACACGGGGACCCTCGCGCCGGG